TTTTTTTTTTTTTTGGTACAATAAAGGAGGCCACAGGCCTAAGACAGAGTCTGCCGGGGATAAGACACCCCTAGGTTATCATGCTCTAACCAAGTCCTGAGTCCCGTAGGCATGGACATAACTCGATGTAGTCCAGCGAATATGAAGCCGCTAAGCTCTACATGTGATCAACAGCAAAATTCGCTTCTCGATGAACATGTTGGACTCTAATCTCCCGGGCCCGGTGGGACAACGCGCGGATGGCCTTAACCATCGAGTCATGGACACCAAAACATCAATCGGACAGGGATATCATTTTGAGCACGCATTGGCTATCAATTTCTACAACCACTTTACGATACCCTAACTCCCACGCCAACAAAAGCCCCTGAAAAAGTCCCCATAGATCGGCTCCTGTAATGGTACACAAACCAATATTGAAAATAAAACCCCCGAGCCAACGTCCCCCCTCATTGCGGACCAGACCTCCCGCACTGCTCATCCCCGTTCGATTGTCAAAAGCACCATCAGAATTTACCTTTATCCAACCCGAATCCGAGGGAGACCACCGGATCAATCGTGTGACATAGGATGCTACCCCAACCTTTTTAAAATCCGTCGCGGCTCGCACATAATTATTCACTATACTGATAATTTCTCGATGTCGGGCCACACTGCTACTTGGCTTAAGCTGGAAGATCCGTTCATTGCGCCCCATCCACAATCTCCAAACCGCGACGGAGAAAACACTGTTCCACCTCTCGAAAGCCCCCAAGCGAGAACACATAATATTCGAGTGCAGCCAGTTCTTCAGTGGTTGTCCAAAGAAATCAGAATTTGCTGCATGCGGTAAAAGGATTTTCCACACATTCCTGGCAGCTGGACAGTCTCTTATGACATGCAGTAGCGACTCCCGGCCTGCACAGAAATCGCACGCCTGCGAGCTTTCTATATGGCACCGTACTCGTTCCACGTCATTTATGACAATTTTTTTTAACTTAAAAAGGGCATCATTGAATATTGCCCTTTAAATGTGGAATTTGTTACATTTTATTTAACATAAAATCGAATCATTAAATTCATCCCTAAAAATGTGAAATTTGTCCAATTACAAAATGAAGTTCATGTTGTGGAAATTGTTCAATAAGTTGATAAGTTTTATAAATTAAAAAATACAATCATAGAAAAAAATCTCATCTTACAAAATCCCGCATAAAAAATCTCATTGTAAGAATCCCACCACATAAATCTCAGTAAGTTTAAAAAATCTCATCCATTTTGTAACAGATTTTTAAAAAAACTACTGTAGGTTTTTTTAAATAAAAAAATAAAAAAGGTAACACACTCTCATTAGCAACATAAATCTTTTATGTATTTTTTTATAAAAAAAAATTTTCACCTATCTAATTACTAATATTTTTTCAAATACTATTAACTTATATAGTAGTTTAGATATCTTAAACATTTGTTTAGATATTTAAACATTTATTTGGACAATGATTAAGGATATGGAAGATACATGTATATATATGTATGTTAAACTTAAATATTTTTATACATGTTTTCTAAAAAAAGTTTAGAAAACATCTTTCATACAAAAGTGAAAGTTAACCCTCATCTTTAATTTAAAATATTTTTTCTTGCTCAATGATGATTTCACTTCTTTCATTAGGTGACTCGAACTCGACACTTATTTATAATTATTATTTAATATTGTAACCCGCCAATTACTGTTTTCACTGCCTCAGAACCATTCTCAATCTTCTCGATCGCAATCGCTTGTCCTAATTACCCCAATTCTTCAATTTTTTGCTCTCTACAATGACAATTTGTTTATCTTTCCACCTCACATACCCCATTTGTCTGTCGATCTCTAATCCTCTTTGGCATCGCCAATTCTCCGCTCGCCGACCACCATCATGGCCAGCATGTCCTCGCTGCGTTAATACATAAAAAGAGGCGATAGGGATTGGGAGTTTGTGGCGGACATGTCCTCGATGCTCTAGTACAAAGAATGGCGAGAGGGATTGAGAGGTTGAGAAATGAAAGTACATTTGGAGTGATTAATACACAAAATTTATTCCATCAATTAATTTACTTAAAAAATTATTATCAAAATAAGATTAGCGTATTTTTATATTTATTTTTTACTAAAAGAATTATTCTGTACTAATATGAAGTCTAAATGGAATTAAAAAATTAAAACTAGTTGATGGGGCGACCTTGAGAGTTAGAGATTGTTCATGGGCATCGCGAGTCAAACTTCGTGACCGACTTTATGGCGTCTTTGATAGCTAATGGAGTGGGTGGCTTGCACCGGTTTTATCGCCCTCCGGCTGGAGCGACTTGTGGCTAACTCATGATATCGCGGGAGTGTCTCACTCTCGTCGTGTCGTGATAACCAAACAAAAAAAAAAAAGATGTTTTTTAAATCTTTTTATTTATTTGTTTTTTCCGCGCAATATCAAACATTTTATCCACGTTTGAGTACTTCATAATTTGGGCCTGGGATGAAATATTACTTGAGCCTGTATGTGAAATGAGCAGATTTTGTGAGGCCCAACTAAAGATATTGCCCAGCTTCACGAGAATGCAAGTCTCGCTCAAATTGGCTTCGCAAGACATACTGTGACCAGAAAGTATAGCACGTAACGCAAGAGTGAGATGGCAGACGTGCAGAGAAGAAGGGGTCCTCCGCCGCCGCCGCCGCCGGCGGGAAGGGGTCCGCCGCCTTCTCGCATTGAGCCTGTCGACCGTGAGAAGGTCTCTTTTGTTTCTCACTCTCTCTCTTTCTCACTCGCCATGTATATGTTTATTCTGATACCATTCTAATGTGCTTCTATTCTTTTATGCGTCTTTATATAGTTCCCAGATGAACGTTTATAAAACAAAAACTGATCAACTGTCAGCATTGCATTTTTGTAAAAGATGCAATTTTTTTTTCGAGTAGGTTTAGGTTTTAGGGTTTGTGGAAATTAATGTAATGTACCTTAGATATCAGAAAATGCATCCAAAATGTTAACTTTCTTTCAGAAAAAATAAAATAAAATTGAATGTTATGTTTTGGGCGTTTTGAAAAAGATAATTGGAATTGCTTGATTAGCTATTGAAAACTCTCTAAAGTTGAGGAATTTCATTGTTGTGAGTCCTAAATGCTCCTGTGGAGTCCATTTAGTGTTGCAGGCTTGCTGCTAGTTGGAAAATAAACTTTCAGGAGCTCACAAAGTAAATTTTCGAGTAATATGCGTAGAATTCAAAGGAAGTTGTTAATCTATCTCTCAAATTATATCAGTCACGTTGTAAACCAGTATAGTTAATGGAAAGTAGAAATCATTTTTATGGTTAAATGACTAGCATACCAATAATCGATCTTTCATGTTGGTGTATGTAGTGGATAATCGATCGGTTTGGAATGACCTTTTTTTTAAAAAAAAAAAAGTCTTGGACAAAAGAAAAAGGATCTTGTCTCTTTTTAATGTTTCGCGCTACTAGTTCAAGAAATCAAGAGAGGAAAGAATTTTCAATATTATGGGTCATGCTACACTAACATAAAAGCCGACTTACACATTGATATAATACACATGTGGCACGATTTCATTATTTCACATGTCACATTAATCAACAAGTAATATGTCCGCGTCATTTCTGACAGTTTATGTCACATATTTATGTTAAAATAGCATTGTCTCAATACTAATGGTCTCATAAGCAGCATATATGTTGAAATGGTTGACCTGTCCATCACAATATTTTGTTCAGAAACTAACTTTTGTAATATTCTATAGATATATTTGGTAGGTTCTAAGTGTTTTAAATATGGTTCTTGTGAAGATTTAATGGAACTCTTTCATCTTTCTCTTCTTCCCGTATTCATTTTCCCCACACTTCTTGAAATCAATGTATCACTCCTGGATTGCACTTTACTGTATAATGCTTTTCTGTTGACACCGGTTGGTTATTGCAGACTTGCCCGTTGTTGCTTCGTGTTTTCACCAAGGTATGTATTCTATTTTTTAAGACATGATTATGTTGTGTTGATGATACATTTTTTTTTTTTTTTTTTTTTTTTTTTTTTTTTATTTTTTTTTTTTTTTTTTTTTTTTTATTTTTTTTTTTTTTTTTTTTTTTTGGCATATGCTTTGAATTTCTTCAAATTCATTTTCACAGGTGGGAGGTCATCATACTGATGATGATTTCGCGGTGAGGGGCAAGGAACCGAAAGATGAGGTCCAAATTTACACCTGGATGGATGCTACTTTACGTGAATTAACTGATCTGGTACAAGAACTTGCTCCAATTATCTTTTTGTCTTTTATTCAAGAACCGTGACTTTTGCTCCTTTCTCTTTCGCTCCAATCTCTTCCTTTTGTTTTGAGCTCTTTTTGTGTTTCTCTTACCATTGGTTCTCTTGGGTTTCATCTCTAGCCTACCCCAACTTGCTTGGGACAAACAGGCTATGTTGTTGTTGTTGTTGTAGGGCTCAAATTTCAGTTTTGAATAATTATAAAGCGAAAACTGTATTGTGTTCTTCAACTACTGGTATCTATGTATCTATGCTGTAAGCTTTTTTGCTGAGTAAAAGACTGAACCCAAAATGAAAAACTGTATAATGCATCCAGTTGAAACATTCTAGTTTCATACCTGTCGTGCCTGCTCGTTTGATAAAATTTAAGGGTGAAACTTGCGTTTGAGTAGCCCTCAGTATTAAATTACTGAGTGGTAATAAAAAGTAAGGGAAAGCAACACAGTGGATGCCACCCATCCTCAACCATCTTTATTTCTCCGTTTTCTGATCATAGTGATGTTATGCTTCTTTTTGTCAGGTTAAAGAAGTAGCTCCAGAAGCAAGAAGAAGAGATGCTGTTCTGTCTTTTGGTTTTGTTTATCCCGATAAACGTGGTCGGTTTGTGGTTAGGGAGGTCAGTTCTATTAGCCACTGGCACTTGTGCAATTGCGCATATGCATATAATTATAGATTTCTGTATCCTTCCTTGTTTTCTAGATGGCAATTTATTTTCTGTCGGGTAGCATTTCTTGAAATTAGAGTGGCAGTGAGAAGTCTTGGGCATATACACATAAAGCATTCTATATATTTATGAATGAAAATACCAATAGTCAGATTTTATCTGAAGTTATTGCAACAGCAAAATGAATGATACTTCTTACTATTTTCCATTTCTCTCTCAAAGGTGGGGAGAACATTTTCTTACCCTAACGCGCGGCGACCTGATAGTGGAAACAAAGCCTTGGGTGATCTTAGTTTTCAGGTAACTTTGTACATCCTTTGCTTGTCTTAGCCAGGCGGCATAAATTTTTAGCATATTAGAAAACTACCCCTGTTGGTTCATTCTAGTTACAAACAACATTGTTTGGTAAAACATTTTGTATTTATCCTCTATGAAGCTTTTGTATTTATCTTGAGTAAACAAATCTCGAGTAATTTTTTATTATGAAAGATAACCGATCCCTTTTCTTCTATTTGGGATGCTAATTAGGATAAAACGTTGGGGTACTTTGGTTATTAACTATTATTGATCCAATATATATCTGAACTTGTTTCTCGAATACGCAGATAGGTGATTACTTGGATGTGGCAATCCTAAACCAATAGTCCTTGTTGGAGTCCCTTGGTATGATTCACGAGCATTCACTTAGTGAGTTTAACCAATGTCTTTTTTCCTTTTTACTATGACCGAAAATTGCTCGTGTATGTGAATGATTTGTCGCGTTACTTTTGCCCGGATGATGTCGTGTATTCTGGCCAACTACTTTATTAATGAGCAAATTGTGAGATAGCTGTTCTGTTTGGATGACTTTGGAGTCTCTGTGGTTTGAAAATTTTCAATTCACTCAGATGTGTGAGGTTGAAGGATTCGCCAGCTCAACTCTTGAATGTCTTTAATTAATCAACGTGTTTAGTTAAATGCAAATTTTAAATCCTTTCCTATATGTAGATGCAAATTTCCTGAGCCTCTTAATTTGACATACATATTGCATATGTAAAATAAATAAATATTTTGCTGATTTTTATTGTAACAGTAAAGTACATAATGCTGCTAATAGGAAAGTAACAAAATTATATATCAATTAAAAAAACAAGTATTTCTAAATTCATTAAATGATACTGGTTAGATAAATTAATTATAATATAAGACAGACAAATCGTGCAAGTGAAAAATCTCATTTTAAATACAAATAATAATGTAACTTGTTTAAAAAGTTTATACAATTTGAATAAAAGCAACCTCTTTTTTTTTTCAAATTAAAATATACATGTATAATTATGAATGTGCAACTATACTCTACACGGCTGTTGTACTCGTTATTAATTGTTTGACAGTTATTAATTATTGGCCAATGCCTCGCATTTTGGAAATATGACTCGGCCTATGATATGTCGGCGCTTTATGCATTTTGGAAATATGACCGGCCAACAAGCATTTTTCGGACGACATTCTCGCTGGAAATCGCCTGGTTTAAGATAAATTTACTATTTTTTGAGTTTTTTTTTTTTTTTTTTTTTTAAATGACATAGACTAAAATGATTCTAGGGAGCACGGGTACAATAATAGGGGGCGGAGAATAGTAACACTTTTTTTCCAAATCGCTCTATTAAGTTGTACTAGTGCATAGCTCGTGCGATACATGAGACACATGTATTAAATGAGTCATTTCTATAGGTACGTTTACGCACAAAAAACGATAGAGTTGGATCATCAATTTTCCACTTCTTTTAATCAATGATGTTTATTTTATCCATAACTTTATAATTTTAATTAATATATTATTCAAGTAACACGTTATATTAATATAAATTTGATTTTAGAATATATTTTTTTTCGATATAAGAGAAAAAATAAAAATTATACTTATTCTTGTTCACCATATAATACTCAATTATTATTTTATTATAATATTTGTTATCCTACAATGATATTATTATTATTTATAAAAGTTATAGAAGTAGTATTCTTCTTATTCGTTATTTAATAAAATTTAATATAAATTTTTGTGTATATATGTTTACCAAATATACACACATATTTTTTTAGAATTTATTTTTCTCATAAGAATTAAAAATATGAGTTAGCAATTGCCAAATTTTACAATAAATTCATTATGAGAACAATTTAAAATAAAAGAGGAAAAAAATTTCTTCGTGGTTGACAATAATATGCAAATAAATCACATGTTGCAATGGTGAAAAATAGTTAATATATATTAATTCTTATCTAGCCATTAGTAAAATTATTTAACGATGTTATCATTATCTCTTAGATGGTAAATTATTAAAATATTTGTTTTTATATAATTAAATGAAGGTTAATGGATATTATCGGAAAATATCAATTCATCAACTTGATTTCGCTAATTAGTTAAAAAGATAAAATTATATAACATGTTACAATTGCTTATAAATATTTTAGGATAAAAGTCAACATTTGTAAAAAAAAAGTTAATAATATTGTTAAGACTTAAAATATGTTTTCATGTTATGTTGACCAAAATATTATCAACATGAATCACGGAAAATCAAATTATAATTTATTATAATGAATATCAATAAAAAATATTCAAATAAAGAATTTTTTTTTTTTTTGTACAGGGATCTTCCGGTTTCCGGATCCACAGGGGAACCGACTAATTCGAAATCGAGCCGAGTAGGACCATTTGTACAGGGATCTTCCGGTTTCTGGATCCACAGGGGAACCGACTAATCCGAAATCGAGCCGGGTAGGACCACAAGGGCGACAAAGCTCTCCCTCAAGAGTTTTAACACTGCTGCATTCCCAGGGCTCGAACACGAGACCACCGGTTAAGCTGGAAGAGACCCAAGCCATCTCATCCAAGCAATTAATGCGTATATTTTAAAAAACAATTATGCATCTTATTTTCTTATTAAATAAGGGAGATGCTACAGTCTCATTACGGAATCATTCCGTCAGGATTAAAACACGACCGAATGGTTCCGTAACACACCACGTGATGATACAAATCTCTCTTGGTCCGAGCATTTCACGCTCGTATGCGCGTGTCGGTGCATAATTTCAGATTCGCGGAATCAATCTCTAAATCATGGTGTGAGTGACTGGTAATCCATCATCTCCTTCAAATTTCTCTCTCCCCAACTGTAAAATCATCCTTGTATATGATATCAATGCACAATCACAGGGCCTACACTCGCGGTTTTTTTCAAAGCTCTATGACAGGATATGGCCATTAAGAGAGGATTATTATCATCTGGCTCCGGCATCAACAGGAGCAAAGGTTATGGATCTCGCTTCCATATTGCCGTCATCGTCTTCGTGCTCTCGTTCATCGGGTTCTCCTTTTTGTTCTTCGGCCGCGGCCCCTCTCCTCCTGCATCCTCCGGTCAGTGTTTTTTTTTTTTTTTGTTAATTTGGAATTGTGGAATTTTGTAGTTTTGTGTGTTTTTTCTTTTGTGCTGCAATATGGGTTTAATCCGAATTGATGGATGGTGACATATGAAGAATTATGTGATTACGAACACGGAGTTTGTGGGGTTTGAGCGTTGAATGTAGGAATTTATTGAAATTTGGAGCTTCCTTTGTACTGTTATTATAATAGATTTAGTACAACTCCTGGAAATTTCAGTCTGAGAGTCATTTATAATGAGTAGATGATGCGAGGTGATTATGAATCTCAAGAAAGGGATGTGCGAGGTGATTGTGAAACTCAAGAAAGGCGCTTTCGTCAATGGATGCTTCTTTGTCATCTTGAATGGAGTTTATTGGAAGAAAGGGATAATGTCAGCGACTAAATGCTCATGTGACATACTCCACGTGCTGTTTTCTTATTGGTCATCAAAGTGAAAAATTGGTTTTTCAAAGTTCGAAAGTTAATAATACTAAGCCGATGGAACCTCTAGCTGACTTGGTTGTTCAAGCTTTGAAGCATTAATACGTTGCATTGAAATCCATATTTGCTTCAGTTGCAGTTAACTATGGATAATCTCTGCTGAAAATTGAGGTTGGTTTTTGGAGGTTTGGGATGGCTGATGGTTAGGTGGAATAAAGTTTCAAATTAGCTATTTTCATTTATTAAAAATCCTCTGAGTCCTCAGTGAAAATGGTCGATTCATCTATGTGTACTTGGCAAAGTTCTCTTTAGTCAGTTATCTTGTACTTGGGTCTCCGTCTTGAGTTAGCTTCCTTCCGTGAAAACCTAGGTGATCCCTTTAATACGGACTTTTGAATCAATGTTCCTCTTATATTGTAGATCGTGTTTACACTTTCCTGTTAGTTAGGAGGTATGCTGCTTCACAAAAGGTGAGTTTTGATTAGGAAATGATCTCATTGGGCAAAGTGGAAAAGGTGTTATATGCAGACATGGTCCACATAGGAGGTGAGCTTTGTTAGTAAGTTGGGCCACATTGTGGAAGACCAGGTTTAGAGAATCTACTGGTCATTTTCCCGGGACAATTGGTGGACGTTCAGAGCATTCACTAGGACATTAGCGGCAATCAACTGTAGGGGGTTGGAGAATGGGGCTCATCGGGGATAGTTTGGTTGGAGACCATGTTGTTTGAGTCACTTGAACAGTTTCTCAACCTTGTTATTCTCTTTATGAATGTAACGACACTTTAATGGTTAATTGTTTGTCCTCTTCTGGTAGCAGATCCATATATGAACTTATGTTCGCACATCGACTTGCTATTTGAGCAGGCATTGTTATGCTTACTTCTGACTTTGATATTATTTTTGTGTTTTGAACTTGACTTTTAAGTGTCAACTTATATTTCTTCAGGTCAAGATGAATTATCAATTATTTCTAGCAGACAGGTAAAATTGTGTGATACATATTTCATTTTGGCAATTATTTTAGGGTGATGTAGCATAACTTGAAAGAACTGTTAAATATACAGGATGTAAATTGGAGACAGAGGCTGGCATTGCGATATTTTAAATCTTTATTCTCTAAAGAGGTAAGTTCTTTGACGAGCACATGTGAAATATTTAGGAATATGCTTAATCTTAGTTGTACTTTTCACTAATTTGCATATTCGTTTAGGTGATTGATGTCATTAATGCCAGCACAGATGATCTGGGACCTTTAAATGTCAATTTTTTCCGAAAAAACAGTTTACCTGCATCATGGAAAATTGTTGGGCATGAATCTGTATCTAATAACGTCACTTATTCTGAGGTGCGCATGACAATGAGGACGTACCTAGTGTTAGTATTTATTAGGTACAAACCGTTTTATCATTTGATGTTTTCTAAGCTTTATTTTATTTATTTAAGGCCACTGGAGCACCTTCAAAAAAGAAGCAAGAAGCATCTAGAGTCAAAGAGGACCACAATTCCAATGGTAATATCTTTTTAGTATTATGCTGGTATTATGCTGGCTTTATTACATTTGAAATATAAATTTGACACGCGTATTCATTATACGCAGAGGATCATTCTGTATTTTTTGAGACACCAGCTAAGCTGGTCAGAAGGGTAAGTACCAGAATTTATCTGTGCATGTCTCACTGACATAATTTTTGCAATGTGGATACTTTTCTTCTTTTCTCTTTATTGAGATCTTGCTGTCTCCTGAGATTTTACTTTCACCAGTATTCTGCCATGCTCCAAAATTTATTGG